CTAGTCGAGGCGGAGACCGGTGGTGCTTGGAGCTTTTTTCTGAAAAACCTGCGAACACATGTGGCTCCTCAACCAGATCTCTATTTGATCTCAGACAGACATGCCTCCATTGAAAGTGCCTACAATAATCCTGCAAACGGTTGGCATGACCCTCCTTCTACGCATGTCTATTGCGTTAGGCATATCGTCCAAAATTTTACGAGGGAGATCAAGGACAAAACACTAAGGAAAGCGGTTATGAATGCGGGATATGCATTGACACAACCCACATTCAAATATTACCGCAACGAGATCCGTTTGTCAAATCCGGAAGCCGGTAGGTGGATCGACAATATTCCAGTGGAAAAATAGACTAGGTCATACGGCAATGGCCAAAGATGGGGGCACATGACAACGAATCTTATTGAATCGATGAATGAGGTATTCAAAGGTATACGAAACCTCCCGATCACTGCTTTGGTAAAATCTACGTATTTTAGGATGGCTGCGTTGTTTGCCAAAAGAGGTGAAATATGGAATGCGGTGTTGCAATCTGGACAACTATGGAGTGAAAGCTGCATGAAATACATTAAGGCAGAAAGTGCCAAAGCCAACACTCATATGGTTATACGGTTTGACCGACACAGCCACAACTTCATTGTGAAAGAGACAATCGACCACAACGAAGGCCTGCAAAGACAGGAATATAGGGTAATACTACCTTCTCGTTGGTGCGATTGTGGCAAGTTTCAAGCCTTTCATATGTCTTGCTCTCATGTCATTGCCGCTTGTGCTTATACCCATCAAGACGCGCTACAACTTCTGTCACACATTTACAAATCTGAAACGTTGCTCAACATTTACAACAACGGCTTTCCTTTGGTAGCAAAACCAGATTATTGGCCTGCATACGACGGCGAAATAGTGTGGCATAATGACCAAATGCGAAGGAACAAGAAGGGTCGTCCCAAAAGTAAGCGCATCACAAACGAAATGGACGAACTTGACAAGCTGAAAAGAAAGTGTGGTTTATGCCGTCAGGTCGGACACAATCGCAAAAATTGTCTGAATCGGGCGTCTGCCTCGACCACATAAAAATTGTAATACATAAAATCTTTCCTTAATTATGTTGTAAACATTAGGGTTTTTCGTTAACAGTATTTGATACAATAAATATTGCGCGTACAAGAAAAAAACACGATATTCCGTCTACGAAATTACAATTGTTAAAACAATTTCATCTGACCCATGCATCATCAACATTACGTCGCTGTCTGTTTTGACTTTCTCCAACCATACATTAGGTCTTCCTGTCGCATGTGAGGTTGTTGTTCGTCTTCGCTGGATCCTTCAAATTTCCCCCCCTCCGCAATGTCTCTATCTAGCCATCGCATCAACTCACGCTTCAGACGCCCCATGGAGTGAATGTGCCAGAATTTCATTTTCATCGCAGGTTTCGTGGCAGAGAAGATAACGTAACCATCTCTGGTAAAAATCATGGGCGACGTCATGACGCAAATAACAGAGTAAAAAATAAAAAAATAGTGCGAGAAAGTGTGAGAAATGACGGAGAAACGGACGGATTATTTATAAAACAACATTTTGTCCTTGTTTTGCCCTAGGAGCCAAGTGAGATGACACCTCCTCTCACTTTTAAAGTGCATGCACCATCTCACTTGGCTAAAAGAGAGAGGAGGCGCCAAGTGAGATGGCGCCTAGGGCAAAATCCTAGGTGGAGGCGCCATGTGAGATGGCTCCTCCTTTGGAGAGTCATCTGAAACATGGTTATTTGTGTAATTTTTTCCGAAACGTAGTTTTTTGCGAAATTTTTTTTTAATACCTGATTATTCAAAAAAAATTTTCGCAAAATCACAATCTATCATATCATTAAAAAAAATTTTAAAATAAAAACGTGATGTGATAGAATATACGATTATCATTGATTAAAAGTATAAAATTACGATATATTTGCCGGTGCATAACTAATAAAGTGACATAACTAATTACGAAATATTTGCCGATGCATAACTAATATATTTGCTTGTGCATAACTAATTACGATATATTTGACCTTATAATGATTCTCAAGTGTTTCATGTCATAAAATAACTAACCATGCACTAAAATATATATGGTCATGCTTTGTACCAAAAAAAAATATGGTCATGGTGGAGACGAAAGAAATATTCTTTGTATAGATTGAATTTTTGTTCCATTGTTGAGAATATTTAGTGTTATGATCCATTTGGAATGGTTTGAATAAGTGATGATTTATATAAAAAGTATGATTCATGATCCATCTAATATTTTACAATAAGTTAGATTAAATCTTAATAATTGCACATCACAAGTTCACATTTAGTAATAACAAAGGAAGTAGAATCATTGTGACCATTAGAAAAATGCATGTAGCAGAATATTCTAAGAGTTATTTTTCTGTTCATGCTCACCAGTCGAAACAAACAAACAATGTTGCCTAAATGAATTCCAAATTTCAACAAGTACCTTGTCAACCTAAGGCTTGACTTATCTAACTTCAAACATGATGCCTAGTTTGTTAAGGTTGAATTTGTGGGAAGATGCATTTTCCAGTGAAAGAATGCAGTTTCAGATAAGCTGACGGATCTGTTAGATCTCACTAGAATAAACAGACTAAAATATGCACAAGAAGTGATTAGAAAGCTTCCAACACCTAAGCTGGCTTTAGAATGTTTTCAGGGACAGCACCTAAAAGTTGTTCATATTTTTATTGCATAAATCAAGATGCACAAAATTTTCCATCAATCTAAAACAAACAGTAAGGTTTCATATTCACAGAGATGGTCTAAACAAAAATTGTATATCTATGATTTAATTATAAATCCTTCATTCAATGCATATATTGTTAACACATTGACAATAACTCTGACAGAATTGAAAACTAATAAAATGAATTGATAACAGAATATATGTTCACATATTTTATTACAAATGAAGAATAAAGAATCACAACATGTTAGTGAGCCTTCTTCTTTTTCTATCCTCAAGCTTCCAAGTAGCCTTCAACGACTTCCATTTATGTTCAAAATTGTCACTGAACTTTTTGGCAATTTGGTAAATATGATGCCTTGGAGGATACATTAGCATTGCATTAGAGAACACAAGCCTCATGTCACTAGCAAACTCACCTGGTGTTGCATACAGCCTCATTTTTCTCTCTATTTCCTTCAAACCTATTGCCTTTGACTTATCAACCATTGCTCTCATTGGAGGATCTTTCAAATCCCAACCATCTCTACCTACCAACATCCTCTTCAAAATCAACCAACATTCCCTCCTCTTAATACAATCCATTGGTTTCTTCAAGGTACATTCTTCAGGTCTTGTGACTGAGGCCGTTTTCGTACAAAGTCTTGAACTTTCCTTCTGACCATTAAAATCTATTTCTGTTTTTGAAAATTGGTTCTTGATCATCTTCTTGTTTTCAACAGCCTTTGGTTGAGACATAACTGTGTTGGTAACTTGGTTCTTGATCATCTTCTTGTTTTCAACAGCAATGTTACTATCCTTTGGTTGAGACATAACTGTGTTGGAAACTTGGTTCTCGATCATCTCCTTGTTTTCAACAATAATGTTACTATCCTTTGGTTGAGACATAAGTGTGTTGGAAACTTGGTTCTTGTTTTCAACAGCAATGTTATTGTCCTTTGGTTGAGACAAAGGTGTTGTTTTTGTACGATAATTAGAATCAACCCAATAACATGTTACGGTTGGTCTTACAGAATCTTGAATCTTCCTTCTCTTGTTTTCATCTGTGCCACAAGAATCTGAATCACGTTTTCTAGAACCAGGAGGATAACTGAGCTTGACGATAAGTCTTTTACGAGGTTTTGTGTTCTCGGACATGGATGCTGTTAATGAACAAGGGTTTGTGTTGGATGGTGCTAAGGAACAAGGTTTGGTGTTGTGCGACATGGATGCGGAACAAGGGTTTTCGTTGGATGCTGAAGCATACATAATGGTGTAATCAAAGAACGAAAGTTGTTTGTTTGGAAAGAACCAAAGTGATTGCATGTATATATAAAATGCGGAAAAAGATTTGAATTTGATTTGATTGTACTCACATTTAACGCTAACTAGGATTTAGGATACATCATTAATACTTAAAACAACTTTCAAAATTAAATCTTTTTATTATTTTTTTTTTTGTTTTACTATGAGTAAGTCATCGAAAAGGAAGGAGCCTTTAATTTTTTTTATATGATGTTTTTTTAACAAACTTCTCATTTGATTTTTTTTTTTTAATTCTCTTCAAGTTTTGTGACAAAAAAAAAAGGAAATTTAAAATTTTTGTTTAAAAAATTGTAACAAACAAGCGCTAAGGTCATTTAAAAAAAGTCTTTAAATATTAATCAATTTTTTTGCAACAATAAATAATAATTTTAATTTTTTTGTATTAACATTATTTATTTAAAAATTCAAAAATTTAATAAATATGTTTAAATGAATTTAATTGACAAAGATATTTTTACAGTATGACTAATTCTCTTATTTTAAATCATGTTTGCCTTTTCCTTTTAACATTTTATAGTGACGAGACTTTTTATATTGGCAGGCAATGCATAATATTTAATATCTATTGAAACGATTTTAAAAGTTCAATCTTATTTTAATTATAATTACTTTTTAATATTTTATTATAAATAAGCTATCTTGAGTATTTATTTTTTATTTTACACTCATTCAATGAACGACGTGCAACTCGTCACATCATATTGATAATTTAAATTAATTTTGATGATTTTACATATTGATGATTTCCAATTGGATGATTGTATAAAATTTATTTACACCGACAATACATGTCCATTAAACTCTAACGAATAAGCTATTGGGAGCATTTAATTTTGTAAGGATACAAGACATCATTAATATTAGTCCTTAGATGTGAAAGGGGAAATCTTAGTTTATAGGAAGGTGAGGTGGCAGAACTGCATAACCTTTCAGCGGATTTGTTTACTTTATCCAAGTTGAATTCTAGTATGCAGTGGCAGAAGTCTAAGTTGAACTGGTTGAGGGTAGGTGATGGGAATTCTAAATTTTATCATGGGTTTATGTCATCTAGACGTAGGTCCAATACGATCACTTATTTATCGGTGAATGATGCTCTTGTTGAAGGTGTAGCCCCGATTAAAGAAGCAGTTTTTCAGCACTTTCAGTCTCATTTTAAAGTGGTAGGAGGTGATCGTCCAGAGATTAATAATTTGTCATTTAAAACTCTTAGTGGTATGGATGGGGCTGATCTTATTAAGTCGTTTACGATGGAAGAAGTGAAACAGGCGGTGTGGGATTGTGATAGTTACAAGAGTCCAGGTCCAAATGGTGTGAGTTTTGGGTTTATAAAAGAATTCTGGGAGTTGTTGAAAGATGATTTGTTGAGATTTTTTGTGAAGTTTCACCGTAATGGAAAGCTAGCAGGAGGTATTAATAGTACGTCATTACTACGATACTTAAAATTGACAGTCCTAAGCGGATTGAGGATTTTTGTCCCATTTCGTTGGTTGTGAGTTTGTACAAAGTATTGGCAAAAATTCTGGCTAACAGATTGAGAAAGGTAATTGGTGGGCCGATCTCGGATACTCAATTTGCTTTTATCTCAGGGAAACAAATTTTAGACGACACTCTGATAGCTAATGAGGTGGTGGGTGATGCTCGAAATAATAAGAAAGAGTTTGTCGCGTCTGAGATTTTCATCGAAGCGCGAAGGAGGCGGACAAATAAAGTTACGATATTACAGTTGAACGCGTCCTATACATTTTATCTAGGAAAATAGAAATAAGATGAAAACAGCAAAGAAAATGTTTTGGTGATTTTTTATGAAAAAAACAATTTATGATAATTAATTAAATGAACATAAAAAAATCTAATTAATTTTAATTAATAAAAAATATTAATTTTGAAAAAATTAATTAAAATACCTAAAACCTAATTAATTTTAATTAATAAAAAAAGGTTAATTTTGAAAAAAAGGTTAATTAAAAAAAACCTAAAACCTAATAAATTTTAATTAAAAAAGGGTTTAAAAAAACTTATGTGTAATGATTAATAAAAAGGGATTAAGTTTGCCAAAAAATAGATAGAGGAAGAAGCATCAATGAAAAATAGGATTAGAAAATACAAATAATGCAAATGTCAGGGGTGAGTGTTGAACCAAAAATTAATTTAAAACCTAAAGTTAAATTTAAAAAAATCTAAAATTAATTATTCGAGTTTATTATGAAAAATCAAAGATTTGTGAAAAATGTGAAGTTTTATGAAAAAATGTTTTAAACAGAAAGAATGAAAATAGGTAAAAGGATAAATATAATGGAAGAAAACCAAAACCAATAGGGATGGGTGTTGAACCCACACCCTAAACCTCCTCAGGATATCTGCCTTACCATACAATTGGTGGTTGTTATAATCCGGCCTCAGTGTTTTGTAATAAACCTAATGGGACCATAATGGTCAAACCTGTAATGTTGAATCTCATGAACACATTAAACAAATTAGTATACCATGAAATACAGATAAAATAAATATATAAAATTTTGTAATGTTAAAACCGATATGGCATGTATGAATGTTTCTACACCCTTTTGATCATGGAGATCAAACCAGCCTCACTCTTACCGGAGAAGTAGTTAGATAGGGGTTTGTAACAAGGATTAGCTTGTTTGTAGTGAGATATGGGTTTGTAACAAGGATTTCAAGATTTTTAGGATTCTTGAAAGAATTTGATATTTTGATAGGGTTGTGGCAAAGGTTTTTTTCCGTCGTCTGCGTGAAAAGAATGAGATTATATAATGGAAATTATAGTAAAGATATGGGCTTTGAATGTGAAATTGGGCCTCCAATAACCACAAGCAATAGTGCATATTTTTATTCACTTGAGTCTGTCACATTCCAGTCTAAATTGCAGGGACTTAAGTTTAATTTTTGAAGTTGAAATGTGAAAACAAAATGTAGCTTACATCGAGAATAAACTCCTGTACGAAAATGGGCTCAATCGGATAAACGGTAAATTAGTTATGAATTTTTGAAGTTTCGCCTCAGACAAACTTGTTTTGGGCTCCAGTGTCAACTCTGACACGTTCTTCAATAAAAAACTGGTATTGATCGGAGCAGAACCCGGTATCGACTTTGGAAGAAAAGTTGTAGATCTCTGAGTTAGTGACTTTGTGTAAAAAGATGGGCCCGATCTGATAAAAATTGACCGAGTTACAAATTCTCGAAGTTTCGACCCAGATGAAATAATATTTAGCATTCAGGATTTTCGACACGTCACGCCCACTCTGGGAAAAATACAAAGGCCTTTTGGATACCATTCAAACTCGATACCTCCTGTGAAAATGTATCCAACTCAATTTGTAAAACTTTGGCGCCGGAACCAGCTCAATACGGTGAAAATCGACCAAGTTATGATTTTCTGAACATAACGCAAATAAACTTCTGTCATAAATGTTTTGTACGAAAATACTTGATAAATCCGCATTTTTGAAGACCTTCTAATCGAAATTGGTGTGATCGGTGGATCTGGAACTGACTGTTTAACGCTGGTTCGCGAAATGTCGCGGAAGCAAGAGTCGCCACCGTCTTTTATTTTTCCCAAATGGAAAGGACAAAAGCACAGAAAAATTCTTTAAAAGAGATCGCTCTCGGTTCGGGAGGTAGGTTATAGAAAGGGAAGGTGTTAGCACCCTTTCTATCCATGGTTATCCATGGGCTCTTAGATACTTGCTCAATGTGTTTTCAAAATGGTTTGTTTGCTTTTCAATGTGGGTTTAAAAAGTTTCTTTGAAAATTTCCAGTTCGACTCGTACGTCAGAGTGTTTGAAAAAATTGCTTTGAAAGCTTTTGAAAGTGTTGGTGTGAAAAGATTTCAGTTTGTTTTGAAGAGAGCAAGTATCCATGAGTCGTCTACCTACCCTAAGGAATTCGTCTGTGTAAATGTCCTTTAAAGTAGTGCCATCCCACCATTGAGAGGTAGGTAGCACCACCGTTGGAGGTGTTCGGGTCAATTCGATGTTCGGGACGTGGTGATCACCGGAGCAATGGGAAGACACCTTAGAAGCTACCCTTATGCCATTGATCTTTTATTCCGAGGCAACTTATTCGAGGCAACTTTGTTTTAGGCGACTTGATCAATGGACACAAGGACTTACTAAAATATCCTCTACTCGATGATCACCTTTCGAAAGGCAACAGTGAGGCGTACCCTAGGGGTGGTGTGTGCGAATTGTGTGTCATTTTCAGTTTATTGTTTGTCTTGTCATGCATTGGTGATCTAACGATTCGATTTTATTTTTGGGCATTCATTCTTTCATGTTATTGTTTAACAGTTAAAAGTGCGGGAATTTAAAGTGCGGAAAAGATAAAAGTCCTACGCTATTATAAAGGGCGAGGGTCTACAACGCCAAATTACTCCAGACCCGTTTTAAAATAAATTGCAGAAAGGAAATGTCTAATAGTTATTACATGGCTTTGGTACAAGTACATTACATTCACAAAAGAAATAAATGAAATGCGCGAAAAAGAAAATAATCAAATGCGAGGGCGTTGAACCCTTTAAAGGAATTAAAATAATTAAGTTATCTAAAATTAAAATTAAATAAAAAATGGTATTTTTGTGTTTTTTAGATTTAAAAGAAAAAAAGAAAAATTAATTGAAATTAAATTAAATATTTGACCTAATTTTATTATTTTTTAAGTTTATTATGAAAATATTGACTTTTAACCTAATTTAACTCTAAATTAATTTATGTACAATTTTTAATTTATGAAAATAAGTAAATAATATTATTATTCTGAAAAAAAGAAAATAAAAAAAAGAAAATAAAAAGTTATTAAACCTAAATTCTATTTTTTTGGATTTTTACTAAAAAAAAGATTAAAATTATACCCTAATTAAACTAAGTAATTACAAGTATTTATTTATGAAAATAACAAAATAAAAATTATATTTTTTCTGGTCTTTTCTGATTTTTGAAGGTTTTTATATTATTTATGTGAAAATAAATTAATTAAATAAATAGCAAATAAAAGAAATAAAAAGAACAATTAAAGAAAGAATAAAAAAATAATAAAGCAAACCAGGGGGGTGTAGATTTGAAAAGCCTGTCCCATTTGCTTGAAGTCCATTGACTTTTTTGATCAGGTATGGCATGTTGACTGGCATCCACCATATGCCTTTGTTCTGAACCCTTTGATAGACCTCCTGGAACACGTGGATGAGCTGATTGTGAAGTGTATGGTAGGCATCAATGTTAGCGCTGCATGTGAACTCAAGTTGAAAAATAATATGAGAATTATTCAGACCTGGGACTCGAACCCAGGTCTTAAACAATGCAAGCGTAACAGCTGTACCACTGAAGCACTTGCGTTTCAATTAACATATAATGGCTAATAAATAACAAAAACTAAAACCAACGCGTAGTGGAGAGGGCGCGCGAAATTTCAAATGAACGTATCATGGGCTGCCACGACTTCTTCTTCCTCGTGTACCCTGAAACATAAAACACAACAGCAACGGTTTTAATGCGTTGCTTTAAGCATGCTATGGGAAAATAGCGAATAGCCATATAGGCTACATAAATTGTTCGCGAATGGTGGTTTAGGTCCGTCTCAATGCACTGGATTCAATAGCCATGGTCTGAAGCTCTGATTTTCCTTGTTTGCAAAAACCCTAAATTAAAAAAACTGTAACCCTAATATTCGAAAATGGTAGAATCTCGTATGATCAACAAAAATGAAATTAAACACCATGGTTAGCTCAGAAACCTCTTTGTGATCATGAATACATAAATAAAAATGAAAGAAAATGCTTGAATTATGCTATGCGATTTGAAATTTTTTGCTTCACAGTTGGACTTGTAGCTACCGTTTCAGGGTGTTTTGGTTGATGTTAGTGATTGAGATGTGTTCAATGATTGTCCAGGATGCTATTAGGAAAAAAATTGAGGCTTGAAAGATCCTCTAGCACTGATTTCAGATTTGTGTTTTAAGGAGAAATTTTCAATATTCAAAAGCTTGTTTGGGCGTAGCTTGTGATGTGTTAGGCCTAGGGTTTGACTCAGTGATGTTCATGGAATGGAATTGGCTTGCTAACTCACCTTAATTCAAGCTCATAAAGGAATTAGTCTTAGGGTTTTCACTCTTAACCATTTTTCCTCCTTTTTAGCCAAAACCTAGACCTAGTATGCAAATGAACCCTAGCCTGATTTCTTGAGTTGGTTCATGATACATAGAAATTGTCCAAGTTCACATGACACTATTCCATTGGTTTTTAAATTTTATTTGAATTTTCAAAGAATTAAAATGAATTAAATCATCAAAAATTAAATAAAATAAAAAAATCAATATTTGGTCTTGAAATTAACCATGGGACACGTGTGTGGCATGACAAGGATGAACCAAGTGGAAAAAATGGGGCCCTTTTGTCAAAAATTGGATTTTCAAGGATAGTTGACTTTTGCCATTTCACAAAAATTTCCCAACTTCTACAAGGCATAACTTGCTCAATTTTTAA